TTAAAATATAAATAATATATAAATATTAATAATAAATAAATTTATTATTTATTAAAAAAAATAAATAAAAAATAATAAAAATAATAAAAAATAAATATAAAAAATTTATTAAATTTTTTTATATTTAATAAATATTAAAAATTATTTTAATAATTTATAAAATTTTTTTATAACATTTTTTAATAATATTTAAATAAATAATTTTTTATAAATACGTTTTAATTTTAATATTTAAATAAATATATTAATAAATTATATAAATTAATATATAATATTTAAAATTATAAAAAAACGGTAAAATATATTTGTTTATTTTATTTAAAATAAATAATATATATAATATATATAATAAAAATAAAAAAAAAAAAAAAAAAAATTAAAAATAATTAATAAATTAAATAAATATTAAAAAAATTTTAAATATTAAATTTAAAATATATTAACGTTTTAAATTATTAAAATTAATATAATAAAAATAAAATTTTTATTATAATTATTTAAATATTTTTATTTTTTTATTAAAATAAAAAATATATTTACTATTTTTTAAAATATTTAATAATTATAATAAAATAAAAAAAAATAATTTATATAATTAAATTTACATAAAAATAATAATTAATATAATATATTTTTTTTAAAATTTAATAAAAATTTTAAATAAATATAATTATAAAAGTAAAAATAATAATTTAAACCCCCGGTTTTTAAAAACGGGATTATACCCGTTTATATATTTATAATTATTTAAACATTTAATTTTTTTTATTTATTAATTAACTTTAATTTTAACTTTAACTTTAACTTTATTTTTTAATTAATATTTTAAATAATTATTACGATTTTTAATTATTAATTATAATTTCGTTTAATTATTATATATAATAATTTTAATTATATTTTTAATTGTTTTTTTTATTATTAAATATTAATTATTTACATTAATTAATACGATTATATATTTAAATAAAATATAATATTATTATTAATTAATTAAAAGTTAATTTAAAATTTTAAAATATTAAAATAATAAATTATACTTGTTAAAAAATTATAATTTTTATTTATTATAAATCTTTTAATATATTTAAATTATTTACATTTAAACGAATTAATTAATAATAAATTTAATAAAATATAATTATATTTTATAAAATAATTAATAAAATAATTTATAAATAAAAAATATTAATTTAAAAATAAAAAATATTAATTTAAAAATAAAATTATATTAATTTATAAATAATAATAAATAATTTATAAATAAAGTTAATTTATTTTATATTTTTTAATTATAATAAAATATTTAATAAATATAATTTATATTAATTAAATTTTTAAAATAAAACGGATTTAATAATATTAAAATCGTATAAATATAAAATATTTTAAAAAAACTATTATTAAATAATAAAAAATAAATAATTAATTAATTTAATAAATTTAATTAAATGATTTTAAAAACATTTTTACGATTTTTTATTTTTAATATATTATTTAAATTTATTAAATCATTAAATCGTTAAATTAAATTATTAAATTAATTAAACCATTTAAATCATTAATATAACTTTTTTTTCGCATATATTAACCGTGTTTTAAAAATGTTATAAAATAAAATAAAACCATATTATTTTATTAATAATTTTAATGGTTAAATGTATACATTTATTTTATAAAATAATTTACATTATAAGCCCGGTAAAATAATTTAAAAATAACATCACTTTTAATTAATACATGAATTATTTAACAGATCTTATAACGGGCTTAAAAAACGCTTAAGATATTTTTCTCGCGATTAAAATCGTTATAACGTAAATCTCGCGACGGGTTTAAATAACGCCTAAGATTTAAGTAAGTTGTCTACCGACAATTCTTTTCACAATAGCTTTTTGCGTGGTGGTCGCAATCCCTCGACGGGCTTAGGAACGCCTGGGATCTAAGGTAGCACAGCATCCTCCGTGGTTGATCGTTAAGCGGACCATGGCGATTACCATCTCTTCTTGTTAAGATAAGGCAGGTGTTTCGCAGCTACCGCATATAACTGGCATGCTATGACTTGCCTTACGCATATCCTTTAAGCTTAACTATTAGGCTAAAGCAATCTTACCTAGGATTCTTTCAATTTGTATGAGAGGGTGACGCTGACGAAAACGGTGCCAAAATTAAGGGATATGTCTCGACTTCAACATTGGCCAGTATGACAGCAGCCCCAACTGATGCGCCCAGCACTACTACTGCGTCCAGGTCGGCTTTAAGGTCTACGACAACGGATGCAGCATGACCCACGGAGACTCTTAATGCTGCTTCCCTTCAGTTATCTAATACCAGCTTCATGGCTAATGTCGGTCTCGGGGATGTTACTTCTGATTTCAGCAATCTCTGCGATCTGAGTAAGTAATATTGCATGCTTGTTAAGCGATGCCAGTAGCATATATGAGTACAGACGGCCTTAACATACGTACGGGTACATACCTAACACGCCAGTCCCATGTCTTAATTACTTAATGTTTTATATCCATTGTCATAAAATGAAACAACCTGAATTACGAATAATATTCCACCGCAAGCTTTAAGGTGTGAATAGCCCTCACTTATTACACCGACGCTCCTCGTGAACTGATGAGCCTCTCAGAAATATTTTGAAACCATGTTATCAAAAACATATCCCTACTCCCCAGGAAACTTAACCTACAATCGCACTCCGCCGGGGAGTATTAGTTGATTGATACAATTCATGATAGCATTCTTAATCCCGTATCACAACTTCCAAGGTAAGAAGGAGAAGGGTTGAACACGTAAAGGAATTGAAGCAACGCAAATGTCCCCAATTTGCTCTTCATTTATCCGGGCAACAATCCCAATTCCTCTAAGAACCCGGCTTCGTCGATTACTTGTTGGACAGGGTCTTCGAATGGTTTGGAGCCGGTGACAAGCTGGAAAACACCCATGTCGGAGACTATGTAGTCTTTCACGGACAGCTTTAAATCTTCGACCGAATCCCCGTTCCGTGCGTTATACGTGGATGTGTCCGACCGAACGGCGTCGATATAGAATTGGCGGGCATCGGCGGCGCACATTCCCCTTCGTCGTTTATAGTTCCATATGTGCAAATCGGCCTTAGACCGTACAGAAACCCATTCTTGCTTTCTGTATTGGCATAGCTTCAGCACCCTCAAGTCTGACTATACAATCAAGTTAGTAAGATTTGTTCAATATCTAATGATAGTTGCTGTAAGCCTACTTCGGTCAGGGCGCTACCGTGGACGAGCACGATCTTGTCGTAAATGTAAAGATCGTTATCATAATAATACTGCCACGCCGAAATGTTTCGAGTTCCTGATCCTGGCATATCATACCAGACGAATCCTTTGCTGTCTCTATACTTCTTCCGTCTCAAAGTTGTTTCGACATCGCCCACTTCGGCCGCCTCTCGATCGCCGTGACTTAGACCGCGCAACGAGTTGATGAGGGAGGATTTACCCGTTCCTCGGTTGCCGATAAGGGCGATATTGACAGCTCCGTCTTCGTATCCAGCTACGGTGCGGGCATATTTAATATCGGCGTCGGTGATTTTGCTGTCTGGTAGGACGCCACTGTTATGAATATTGTTAGTCAAAACAGCTCGTAATTCGAACAGGATTCATAGTATGGTCTCACAGTTCGCGTAGTTCACGCCAGTATCTTTCCTTCCTCTCGGCCTCTCGAGCTAAACGTTCGTTAAGTTCTGCTCGTTCTAGGGCTAAGCGTCCCTGCTCCTCTCTTAGCTCTGCTTCTTGTCGAGCTAGACGTTCCTGTTCTTCTCTGTATTCTGCTTGCTCTCGCGCCAGACGTTCTTGCTTTTCTCTTTGTTCGGCCTCTCGTCGAGCTAAGCGTTCTTGTCCCTCTCTTTGCTCTGCTTGTTCTCGGGCTATGCGTTCCTGTATCTCCCGAGCCTCTGCTACATTCCGAGCTAGGCGTTCTTGTTCCTCTCTGGACTCTGCTTCCTCTCGGGCTAGACGTTCCTGCGCTTCTCTACGTTCGGAATGTTCTCGGGCTAAGCGCTCCTGATCTTCTCTAAGTTCCGCTTGTTCTCGAGCTATACGCTCTTGGTTTTCGCGGTGCTCTGCTTCTTTTCGGGCTAAGCGTTCTTGCTCTTCTTTACGTTCGGCTTCCTGCCGAGCTGAACGTTCCTGTTCTTGAGCAAGGAGAACTTCTGTGATTCTCTTATTCGTCTCCTTATATTTCTGTTCGGTTTCGAATGCTTTTTTCTTGTCAAGGAACCACCAAGCAATCATAGGAATGGTTTCTGTCGTAGGAGTATTAATATTAGAGCCGATGATACGAACTTTATGGCACTTACCTGCCATGATGCTCTTATCGAGACGATATTAGGATCGGTATTCCCACCGTGTTTTAGACTATGGGATAGATAGTCATGAAAATTTCAGTATGAATAAATATTATCTCAGAGGCGACAAGCGTTCGTAGCAATTGAAAACTAATAGACTTTGTGCGGAATACAAAAATTAGTTAGGAATTCGAAAATGTCTCTACTCGATGGACATCAAACCCCCTATTTTTGGGCCTAGAAATCGACGTACGCCCATTTACGTTATTTAACAATCGATTCAAAACGATCATTACCTATTTCTGAATCATATACCTGGGTTAAGCTGGGTAGCATCCAGGTGTGTTTTACTCCTAGAGTAGGACTATCCACCACGTATTCTGATCCGACACACATACGAAGCTTCCGAAGACACGTGGTGGCCTCGATTGCCCGAACGTAGAAAGCGCTAAGGTAGTAGTAGTAGTATCTTGCAAAGGTACGCCGAGTCGAGTTAACCGTAAAACCCGGAGTTGCTTTTATGACTCGATGTTTCGTTGCTCGCAACCAATGGCCTCTTACCACAACACAACATAGCACTTGTGTTACCTTAGGCTGTACAATGTACTGAATCTAAATCACATCACTGATTACGTCGTTATTGAGGCATAGGCAAATGAGTGGACAGCAGCAGCGTCCTAATATTGAGCAGTGCTGTCATAAATGTCTGTGGTCACCTAGCGCATTTTTCAGGCGCTCATCAACGTCCACCGGCTGGTCACTGCTTGGGCGTTGTAGAAAAGGGGCGACGAGTCAACAAAAAGCGATGATAAGGGTTGGCCCGGATTTGAGATGTGGCATGATCTAGCCTTGGGTATCAATGAAATTGATCGAGAGGCTCGCTTGTTCGATTCACTTGCTAAATACCCAAATGATCTGTCGTATTTCTTAAAAGAATGTCTCTACGTAAATATTATTGGTCTTAAGTTTTAGAGAGTTGCATTTGACGGAACGGATATAATGGAATTATCTTCTGTAGTCCTTCCGTCGTATTGACAGTCCTCGGATAAGATTATATGATGATGTTTTTATGCCGTTGATTTATAAGTGAATTAGGTATGGAAGAATGATACTATTGCTCTGTCCTCAACTGAGTACCTAGGTACCTAAGGTCGGCGCGCAACAATAACATAAACTACATCATTAAGTAATGGGTATCTCTATTCGCTGTTAAATTTTTGCTTGACCTATCATCAGTTAGTAAATCCTGCATTCGATTACATGAACGAGTGCGTCCCCGGACGGCTTTTACACGTCATAAACCTAATTATCGTCATCGCCTTCGAACTTCTTTCGCGGCCAATCCCGCGCGAAATCGATCCGGTCCCTGGGCCAGAACCACTCGCAGAACACGAATATCAGGTAGTCGATGATGACGCACAGGCAGAACAGCTTACCAGCCCAGACGCCGCAACCATAGTATCGCTTGAGCCGGTCGATTAGAGAAAAGTTGCGCCCGCGCGTGGCATGCCAATGTGGGTCGTGATTAACATCGAACCCGTAAAACTCGGCCTCGCTGACGTCGCCCGAGATGCCTTGGTAGACGCGTTCGGTGCGCTTCGCTACGTTGGTCCATGAGTACATGGCTTTGACCTGATCATGGAACTTCTCCGTGCGGACTTTATTCGCACGGAGAGCCGCGATAGCCCTCCCAGTCGCGGCTACGAGGTCATCCTCTTCGGGTTTCGCGAATACTGTCATGTGTGACGGAAGTACTTCGGGGATACCTCCGACAGCCGTACATACGACGTATAAACCGCAGCTAGCGGCTTCGACGATGACTGTCCCGAATGCTTCTGTTAGACTGGGGTGTAAGTAGACGTGACCCCTCACCATCACGTCTCGAACGTTTTCGTGCCGCACGGGCCCCAACATCTCGATCTTGTCCTGCAGCACGTTCTGTTCGATCATCTGCTCTAGTTCGATAGCCTTCGGCCCGGAGCCGGCAATGATGAAGCGCGTATTCGGATGATTCTCTAGAATTCGAGGGATGGCTGCTATGAGGAGATCTGTCCCCTTGTTGTAGAATAGACGACTAATAACAACGATAGTAAGGGTGTCATTAGGTCCGAGAGGGTGCGCCGGTAGAGGATGCTGGACGAATGGTAGGCTATTCAGGTCTGGACGGGGTAGGGGCTTGAAATTTTCCGAGACGAGAGCATTTGGAATTACGGAGACCATGAGAGGATCTAGGGCTGCCCTAAGAACTGTGTTCTCCTTGCTTTGAGAGATGTGAGCGGAAGTATTTAAGCGAAAGCCGAGTGAATGATAGAAAACGCACCATGTATTACTGACGCATATTACGTGGTCGACATCGCTGAGTGTGAACTTGAGCAGTTTATTAGTCAAGATGCTTGCCGCATCAGCGAAGCCAAACAAGGAATGATCGGTAAAGACGGTTCGTAGTCCCATGGTCCTAGCATGTAGCATTGCCTCCTGGCAGAGGGTACTCAGGCTGGCATGACCATGAACGATCTGTATTTTTTCGCGAAGGATGATATTCCGGAAAAGAGGAAAGAAGGAGAAGACGGTGGGAAAGGTGGCAGATCGGTAAATAACGGCGAAGGGGACGTGGAAGACCTTGATGCCGTTTGTGAGGTAGCGAACTCCTTTTCGGTCGTCGTAAGCATGAGTTATCACGATGACCTTGTGCCCTCGGTCTATTAACTTGGAAGCGAGCTGGTAGATGTGACTCTCGACACCTCCGGGCTGGGGGAAGAAGAAATCGCTAACCATGGCGATATTATACGTTCGGTGCGGCATCGTGGCGGGTGATGAGCGGATCGTCGGAAAGAATTTCGTGTCATATTCGAGAATATTAAGAACTTCCGTGATGGGAAAGCGTTAGGAATCACCGTGCTGTTGTAATCAAGTCATTAGATATATCAATAGACGACCGATAAAACGCTTAATCGTATGGTTGATGGTTCAAGTGTTGAAGTGGTTTAGATTGGCTAATTAGAAATCCGGGGTTGGAATACATCCTAACCTTAGCATGTTTTAGCACGCTCTTGATCCACTAGCCCCACATGATACGGTTATCGATAGAGCTCTAGCTCTTATCTGAGACCCACCAAGATAACTAAATCGGGAAGGCGGCCAAGTTTTTATGCGATGGCAGAATTATTGGAACTTCTTTTGAATTCATTCTCTCCAATTCGAAGCACGGCGCTTTCCAGGCTTACAAAAATGTATGCGCGATATGTGCCACCACAAAAAGGGACTGCTAAGAGCCCGGAGCTACTGCAGACCATTGAAACAGTGTCGAACCCTGTAGTGAAGTCGCAGCCGACAGCTTATGCCAGATACATTCCACCATCAAAACCCGTCGATAGCCAATCTGATTATCATCAACCCTCTCAGCATGTCCACTTCAAGGATGATACCAATGGAAATGAGCCACCTGCCAAGAAAGCTAGGTTGATGGATGAGAGCCACATCGCTAAGGAGTCAAAAAAGAAGAGCAGGAAATCAAAACAGCCCAAGGAGCTACATGCTGATACAGAATATTCAGAGGAGCCGCCCGTGTTAGAACCGGAGGCTCCAGCTCAACCAGACGAAACTTTGACTGCTCTAAAGCTCGGCGCGTCAGAACGGGGAGCAACCCAGCAGCTAACTCCAGAGAAGGTTCCCAAGTTGCCGGGTCAAGGGGGGAACGAAAAGAAGATTAAAAAGAAAGAAAAAAAGAAGCGAAATCTAGAGGCTCTCGATGAAACTGAGGATGAAACTCCAGTACGGCATAAAGCGGTCCTAGAAAGGGCGGCAAAGTCGATACGAGCTCCCAAGTTGCAACCTATTGCAGACAAGCATGAAGATACGCCAATGCAAGATGCGCCGGATGTCAGCGATGGGAATGAAACGAAGGCCGCCGATAACTCTCTAGACGTGGATGCGGAAACACCCGAGATCCATGGCCTTCAACCGCTACCTCAGCCTAAGCCGGTCATCCCCGAGGCTACGAAACCGGCCTACGAGACGTTACCGTCCTGGCTGGCGAAACCAATTCGTATATCTCCGCAGGCTACGGCGCACTTTACGGAATTCGGACTTTCTCCAGACCTAGGTATCACTGCTGAAGTAGCCGAAAGGTTAGCTGCAAATGGGTATAACCAAGCGTTTGCTATACAGACCGCCGCAATACCATTGCTTCTTCCCCATCATGACAAGAATATGCATGGTGATATTTTAGTTTCTGCCGCGACCGGTTCTGGAAAAACTCTAGCATATGTCCTGCCTCTAGTACGAGACTTGAGCCAAGGCAATCGGCATCTGACGAGGCTCCGTGCTGTGATTGTTCTTCCAACTCGGGAACTTGTAAAGCAGGTTCAGCAAGTATGCGAAGAGTGTGCGGGTGCGTTTGCTCTAAATGGCACTAAGAGGAGAGTACGTGTCGGCATATCGATGGGTAGCCAATCCATCGACCAAGAACAAGCTTCGCTTGTCGAGAGAGAAGAGGAATATAACCCAGAAGCATTCGCTAAACGAAATAGGAGACTTGCTTCTGAGAGTGGATACGGTTCTGATGACGAGAGCGACAAGGGTTACGATACCGAAGATGAAGAGAGAGCAGCGATTCAAAAGAAGGAAGACAAGATCCAAACATTACCGAATCACGTAATCGCATACAAATCCAAGGTTGATATTCTTATCTGCACTCCGGGGAGGCTCGTCGAACATATTAAATACACACCCGGCTTTTCGTTGGACTTCGTCCGTTGGCTCGTCGTTGATGAAGCCGACAAACTGCTCGGTCAAAATTTCCAACAATGGCTAGATGTAGTTATTCCGCGGCTACAGTCGGGCGATGGCTCGCGAAACCACAAGCAGTCCAACCTGTCAGGTGTTCGGAAGGTCATTCTCAGCGCTACGATGACAAGGGATCTCGACCGTCTGGAAGGGCTAAAACTTCGCTGGCCTAAGTTGATCATACTGGAGGGCTCGGGTAGCGCCGAAGAGGTAGAAGCTACTATAAGTCAAGCTGACCTTGCGCTTCCTGAAACGCTCGGAGAAGCTGCTCTCAAAGTTAGCGACCCTAATCTCAAGCCGCTCTTCCTGTTGGACCTACTTCAGAGCAATTACATATTGGGACAGATCGGTCATAACAGGTCCAGAGGTGATACTTCAGATAGTGAAACTTCTTCGTCTGGGTCGGACTCTGACTCGGATTCTGATTCGGGCTCCGATTCGGGTCTAGATAGATCACGTAGGACTTCCGATATCATCCCCCCTACTACCAACACACCGAGTGTTTTAATCTTTACCAAATCAAACGAAACCGCTTTACGTCTCTCACGTCTTCTTTCATTGCTTTCGCCAACCTTGGGCGCTCTTGTCGGTACGCTTACTTCGACAACACAATACGTAGCCCGGAGACGCACCATTCGGTCGTTCTTAGCTGGAAAGTTGCGTGTTCTCGTCGCATCCGATCTAGTTGCTCGCGGTATAGATCTTCCCAGTCTAGATCACGTTATCAACTACGATATGCCGTCCAGCATAGCTTCATACATTCATCGTGTAGGCCGTACAGCCAGAGCTGGGAAGACGGGCAAGGCGTGGACACTGTTCACAAATCCGGAGGCAAGGTGGTTCTGGAATGAAGTGGCTGGCGAGGCCGCTATCCAAAGGAGCAAGAATGTGGAGCGCATTAGAATAACCGAGGAGAAAGAAGATGCGTTCGAAAGAAAGATATCTGATTACGACTCGGCACTTAAGAAACTAGGAGAAGAAGCAAGCGGATGGAAAGGCCGACCGCGCCAGCGTTAGAGACGCAATCCGTAGTCATAGTAGGGTTAATCTATCTCGGTTAGGAGGTATGTAGGCACCTCTCATACAAATATCATTAATAAAATAGCTCAATACGTGCAAGACGAACATTTATCCCCGATACATATAAAGACCCCAGATACTACTTTACAACTTTCCGACACTTATGACCTTCAAGATGTCATGATATCGAGTACAACAATGAAGTAATCTCTTCAGTTAAGCACTACCGAGATGACAGGCAGACGGAATAATGATAATTTATGCTTATCGAGCCTTTTACGACAGTCTTACGACCATCTACCCAGAGCGAAATTCATGAAGCGTGTCAGACAGTACTTCATTGGTCAATACCGGAATACGATGCCCTCCTCACACCCTTTACGTAAAACTCCAAATATTTTTACTTAATAGTGTCAGCTGGACAGAACTAGGCAAGTTGAAGGTATATCCTTCGATAGCACTTCCGCCTCGTGATGCTAGCTGATGGTTTTTCTATAACCGATACGAGACCAATTACATGCAAAAAGAGTTGAATTGTCAGCCCACGCAGCCATTCCGTATTAGAGAGCTATACGATAAATGTCAACAGAGCGTATGACAGACCTTTCGATCCTTCGGGGAGTGTTAGCCGTACTTAGCGTAGTCCTGGAGGCTTACTATACTAGCGGAGCTGAAGCTTAGAGAAAACTCAAGAACACACATGGCTGACAACAAGTTCAGCCTTAACGCTGGGGTATTAAGCTATAGGCTATCGTTATCACCTCGCAACTCGCCATTACTGGTCGATATGGGGTTATATCATGCTTCGACTATGGGGCTTTGCCAGTCACCCGGTACCGGGTAGTTTGCCATCTGGCTATATTCAAGCTCAAATGAGGCGGTGGTGATTTTTCCCATTTCTTAGAATCTTAGAGCTATTTTTTTAAGAGCTAATAGCTATGGACTAGATTCTGCTGTTAGTGTTGGGCCTCCAAGAGGCGATGGAAATCGTACTCTGTTAGCGTCAGCAGCTGGAAGCCCCTCGTAAGCTCACGGCTAACAGGTAGGTAGACATAGACATATATTCGAGTAAAAATAGAATCAACCTAGAATACCGTTGCATTTCCCTAGGACGTTCATATCGCGAGATGCTGAGTGTTGAGTTCTTCTTGAATGACTATAAAAGAAGGCATCTCGTCCGCCAAAAGAAAGAACATTATTATCACGGAAAAACAAATCACAGTCACAAGCACAGATATCCACCACTATCTCACCCTTTATACCATTTCTCAATCTAATAATCAACCCCAATTCTATTACATAACCTCAAAATGAAGTACACCACCGCCGCTCTTTACCTCGTTTCGGCTACCCTCTCCCTCGCCGCCCCAACTGGCACCAACACTGTTAGTGCCCGAGAGGAGCGCGCCTGGGCCGGCTTCGCTGTGCCTAGCATCATCAAGAACCACGACATTATCAGCAACCTAAACACCCAGGATGTGCAAACTGCTACAGTACGCAACGGCAATATTGAGACGAGCACCCTATATGACATCCCAATCCCGGAGTCCGCTGCGGGTAAGACCTGCACCCTGGTCATCCACGCCGGCCGCATAGGCAACGGCGATAACGTGCTTGGCGAGAAGGCGCTTGACCTCTTTCGAAACTCTTTCACGGACCTGGCCAACCTATCCTCGGGTAACCTGCGTGATACTCAGCTGGCACGCGTGCGTTTCGATGATGCCACCGGCTTCTACAACTTCGACAAGGTCGGCTTTGCTAACCCGGCGGTCGAGAGCTTCCCCTGCCCCGCTGGCAAGACCCTCCACTGGGAGACGGTAGCTGTCGGCCAGTTCGACATCAACGTCATTGGACAGGACTTCGTGGTCGATGGCGCTAACGCGCCTAACGGCTTGAGCGTCGGCTGGTTTTAAACCAGTCCGATGACACTCCGGTGACTGTTACTGCATTGGCTGTTTCAGATGTTCAGGTTTATAGTTTGAGAAGAACCTCCATATTCTCTCCTTTTTCTTTCCTTTTTCTGCATGGGAGCGGGCGTGCCTGGTTTCAAGGCCCATTTAGGTTGGGCAAGAATAGGGGCTGGACTGGTAGGTATGGCTGGGTTTAGGGACACTCCTTGATTGTTATCTAATGATATGTCCTCAAGTGCGAGATAGACACAGATACATACTCCACTTATGTTAATAAAGCAAAGCTTCGAAAAGGGTCGAAGCATACAATCTTAGGAATAGTATCAAAGAAGTCAACCAATTAGGTTATTAGACCAGCAGTGTACCTTTGTCTTTCTCGCACTTGAGGACATAGTCATTGAATTTTCTGATAAGGCTTAATATAATGATAAAACGCTTGCACCTGAGGGGACGATGTTAAAAAATACACGGGATAGTAGAGTGGCCGCCCCAGAGATGATTTCAAATGATAATAGATTGAATACGTAACCTATCTTATTTCTTACGGGCTATTCATGCCCCGCGGACAACCAAACCATAAATGGACATATGTTACAATCAAAAGCCTGGGGAAGTCCGAAATACTTACGGTTGCCGCAGCATTCGTAATCTCCTCTTATACACCAAGTTGTTGAGATTGCTGCGTCGAGGTACTAACTAGTCGAATTCTATGAGGAAAAATACATATTTCCCAACCTGGCTCTACATAGTGCTGAGCCTACCAGGCCTACGTCAGTATTTCAAGAAGGATTATCCGCCGTCTGTTGTGTTACCCGGTTCGTCAGATTGAATAAGCGGTTGGGTAGGATAATAGTAATTTTAAGAACCTATATTCCGTTGATCTTCCAGCTACAAGGCTTCAACTTCTCTTTTTTCCTTGGAATACTTAAGTATAACTTGAAGAGACCCCCGTCTTATCATTCTCCAAATAAATTCCAAAGCCATCAACGCTTCATATTAGATTCTAATAAAAATACGCGGCAATAGACCATTACCATGGCATTCACTATCCTGTTCTTCTTCACCCGCAAAGCCGGCATTTCACCGGAGGAGTTCAAAGAGCACCTCGAAAACATTCACATGCCTATGCTACAAGAGGTAGCAGGTCCGCACTTCCCGCTATCACACAGACGGCACTATATCCAACGCACTCAGGGCCAAGGCGAGGGTACAACCCGGAATGCCTCAACTCCGGCTCAAATTCTGCTCGGGTCCCAAGCTGACTTTGACTACGACGTTGTCTCCGAGCTGACATTCCAGGATGCTGCGGCCTTCCAGACTTTCATGGCGTTCTCACATACCCCTGAGAAAGCCGCAAAGGTTGGAGCTGATCAAGAACTCTTCCTCGACCGCTCCCAGTTGCGTGCCGTTGTTGTAGGCGAGACCGAAGTCACGAAGCGGGAATAGGGGGTTGATCAAACTATGCCAGGCAATGGCAAGTATTGTTGCGCGAGCCACTGTTACGGGACTACCTATGTTTACCTATCTAAAGACTAGAATATTGGCGACATCCTGGGTGGAAAAATATGAAGAGTCCAAATAATGTCAATATTTCAGCGCTCTAATTCCTTTTCTCATCGTGATATAGTTTAAGTACTTCAATGTGTACATAACCTAGGTATGGTAAATGTGCTTAAAAAAAGGGGGTGAACATTTCGAAAATGAATCGTTAGTATGTTAAGCCCCGGTATTAGATTTATACATTAAACATGATAATCGTATATGGAGTCATATAATAGAATGTTCCTAGTGAGAGTAAGATGCTGACTGCGTAGGTACCTAAGGTATATCTTGTAGGTTTTCGTGGTAGCTGGGCGCTCTACCATTTAATTTTCTCAAATGCTCAGGAAAGACGAGAAATACCCCAATCTACGCTATTCTTTCTGATATATATGCTCATATCTTGATTTTGATGTAGTTTCACTTGTGGGATCGTGTTTTCCCTTCTTATAGCACGGCAGCCTTCAAAGGAGTTACAATCTCTCAGGAAACCTTAGCATCATGCTCTGTAAGGTCTGTACATATGGACTCGAAAACGCACGGAAACCCTCTCCACTAGGTTCAGCCGAAAAACATATTGCAGACACTGAAGGACTGCAGCTCAATCAATAGAGTTTAGTGCGTACGATACCAGATATCATTACCTCTAAACGGCTAAATTTAACTTATAGATTCGCAGTACCTCGGAACTCTTCCCCGGTCTTCTGGTATATACATGGGCACCATCGTGACGAGGATTCTTTTAATCGTTCCGCGCAGGATGGGTGTGTCATGTGTAGTGATTTCCCCTTCCACGACGATGCGGGTCGGATCAATAAAGTAAAGGAACATGGCTTCTTTACCGTATTCTGGGTTTCTTATGAATATGACATCCCATGCATGACAGTAGACTCCGGCCATGGCGTGAAAACAGTTTCCTTGGTTAAGAGTAAGGCTCGCCCCTTTATTATCCATGCCTGGTTTTGAGTGGCCTTATCGCGAAACTTATACAAGCTTACAGCTTTACCACCTCTCGATAACAGGTTGAACTTCGATATTCCTGACTCGACAGATTGTACTCAAACGTGGTCTATGATCTCCAGATGGATGGAAACCTGTTTACGACATCATAGCCTATGTCCTCTTAGACCAGGAAGCAAGAATTACAGACCAACCCGATTACTGAAGATAAACTGCTCGCATGATTCATATTCACCAAACACAGCAAGCTTCCAGTTAATAAGCCGAGATGAAGATTCTCCCGTGTCTTCGTACGCCGCACTAAGTTACCGGTGGGGCGACAAACCGTTAGATAAGACCCTTCGACTCTTGAAGTCTACATCTGCTTGGCTAGAGAAGCCTAATGCGGTTGATCACTTGCCAAAAACGTTGAAAGATGCAATATATATCGCATATCGCTTAGGGGTTCGATACATCTGGATTGACCGCCTATGCATTTACCAAGACTCGCCGGAAGATTGGCGCAGAGAAGCCGGGTCGATGCAAGATGTATATCGAAATTCAGTATTTTGCATATCCGCTCTCGGTGCCGACGATGACGGAGGAGGCTGTTTCTTCTCACGCGATCCGTCGTTAGTTGCCCCTACGGCTGTCGACATGTATAATAACGGGGAAATATTCAGGGCGGAGCTTGAAGACACGGCGTGGTATGCGGCATTCCGGCATGAGCCTCTTATCCGACGAGCGTGGGTTTTACAGGAACGACTTATGGTCCCGCGTACTATATATTTCGGGAGAAAACAGGTATTTTGGGAGTGTGAAGAATCACATGCGTGTGAGACGCACCCGAAAGGTTTCGAGCGATCCCGCTCCGCCTTTAACCCCGCCGGCGCGGACAAGCACGAAAAGCACGTCGATATTGGCTTTCCGCTCTGGAAGCAGCTCATCGCTATACCCACCACTCCGCGTATAGAAAAAGACCCACGGACACGGATCCTTGCCGATTGGAGTGCTGCCGTAAGCTTGTATTCAAATACGAAGCTCACCGTATCAGGAGATAAGCTCGTCGCCGTATCCGGGCTAGCCAAGGACGTTAGAAAAGCGTTGCAACGTCTTAGGCCGGGTAGGTATAGGTATCTAGCTGGTTTGTGGGAAGATCACTTGATAGTAACGTTGGGTTGGTACGTGAGAGTCGGTACCCCGGCGTCCCGGGCGGCCTGTTATCGCGCACCTTCGTGGTCCTGGGCTAGTCTTGACGGTCATCTTATCATTCCGGATACATTCCGCGAAGGAGTGGTCGAAATTAGCTCATTGTCGTCGGCTAATATAGCCCTTCTTGGCGCTGATGACACTGGAGAAGTGGCTGAGGGCATCCTGACACTACATGGGCCGATCTGTTTAATCGAGGCTTACATATTGTCGCACAATCAGTATGCTGTAGAGACATTTCGAGAATTCGGCACTGGCCATTCAGTCAAAGTTAGAGTCAACGAGAGTCGGCAGCATCAGTCAACAGTCATCTTTGATACATCAGGCGACTATTGTAATAATTTCGTGTGTATCTGGACCATCGCGCAGCCGGTAGTCTTAGGGGGGTGGCGGGTATCTGGGTTAGCACTGCGCCATGTGAGGAATGATACATTTCTAAGAGTTGGTGTCGTTTCTTCGTATCATATGACTCAGGCCGAGTTGGGTACATTTATTGACCGATTCTCTCCAAAAGAAGTAAGACTTGTCTAACAAATGCATGAAGGCATAAGTACCTCCTAATCGCGGTACATGTTCTCTTATATGGCGGGCATTCTAGAGGCTCCCTTTAACTAGGTAGTCTTGTCCTGACGTTCATATGGAATATAAATAAATTTGATCATGCTTTCGTACAAGATTTTGATTTCTTCGTAGATAAATTAAGTAAGGAATCCGTCAGTCAACGTCGAAGATGAGTTAATACCAAAACTACCTTTTTGATAAGCATATTAAAATCAAATGGTGGGATCCATTCTGTAGAAGGAAATGCAAGTCTGCGCATGCCTCTCGTTGATCAAAAGGGGTAAATTGAAATAAAAAATGATACCAATACCAATAGTACGTCTTCCACATCTCCCTTACCCCCCCCCCCCCCCCCCCCTCGGCCACTGTCCGACCCCTTTAAATTGTTCGTAAGCTACCAGGGGTTCGACCATTCCTATAGTGCCATAGACGACTGAGGTCCCTAACTCGTACTGGTCCATCCAGGGCACTTACTTCCGCGGCCAATCTCCCTTGTACGGAAACATCGCATTTAGCTTGGGCGACTTGGTCCAGCGCCGCGAAGCTATGACCGAGGCCTTCGCGGATAGCTTGGACGAGATTATCGCCCTCTCCCTGTCTAGGTGGGTTAATGACGCTATCCATGAATTCGTTGCTTTCTGCACAGCCTATAAACTCCCCAAATGCATTTTTAGCCAATGGAAACATGTCGTTAAGGTAATGTTGGTTCAACAAGTGGCCCCCAAGAGATTCGTGAGCGAAGAGCCGACCAACAAAACGAGGAATCTCAGATGAAGCTCGAGTGTTAGTTATGAAATGCAGAACACCCCAAAGAGCAACAAAGTCTGTAGTATGAGCGTAGTGTTCTATGTGTCCGATAGCTCGATCTAAGGCGGCACCATGAGGTTCGAGTTCCCCTGAACCCTGGTCGTTGGAAGTCAGTGTATGAGGCTGTGCATTGTTAAAATTCTTTTTGGCTGCTGTCTTGTCCATGTCGCCTGGGAGATAAGGAATCTGCCTGAACACCCTGTTTAAGATATGGGGATTCTTTACTTGCGCTTCCTGGCTACTCTTATGTCGATGGGGGTTGTTGAAGTGATTTGCCGCATTACCGAAGGTGTAAACTTCAAGCTTAGCGAGAAGATCCTGTGGAACCTCCTGTAAAAGCCAGTCTATAACAAGGCCTCCTTCGATACCACCTTGTGAGTCTAACCTCCAGCGTTAGTAATTATTTCTCGCGGACAGTTGGATAGTATCGAAGAAATGGCGACCGATGAGAAGCGAAAGGTGAACTCGCGTAAGACATTCTTCGATATTATGAAGTTCTTACTTACGTAAGATGAATACCACTGTTGTATACTGTGGATTATACAACTTATCCTTTAGAATCTTATACGCTAGACGAATATCGGTAGTTGCATATCCGAAGCAACGTTGAACTATAGCTTCTAGTATATCAAAGATAACTCCGCTTGTGCGATTATGAATGCCTAAAACAGGTCGCCCGAAGGTAAGTGCTAGGCGATTAAGGTTACCCTTGAGCCAGGCTTCCCTACTCTCTGTTAGTTACGGTTGCATACCACTCGAAACTCACTATCATACCCGACGGAGACACCGTTTAAGAAAATCCACTGTTCGTTCTCAAACTTCTCCCAGTTAGGCGAGTATCTTGGCTCCGATGTGTATTGTATTGTGTTCCCATTCAGAGTTCGGCATATTAGCTGGTTGATGACGAAAAAAGTAATCAATCCGGATATGAAGAGCCACCCAGGAAGGATGAACACCGATGGCAACGCCAGGATGAAAGCCACTTGGAGGACAACGAGGACGATGTGCACAAAAACACACCACATATGTGGGAACGTGAATGAAAGCTCGTCAAACTTTCCACCATGGCAAGGCCAGAGAGGCCATACAACCCAGGGCAAATATCGGGCGTACTTGAGGAAATACCAAAAGTCCCAGAACACCAGTTTCCATGGCATATCCGTATAGCTGTAGTTGATCACAGTCCCTCCCCCGACCTGAGATCCGAAGAATTGTATCTGAGCCATGGTATAGCTAGTATCACCGTGTTTGGTAATCCTTATGCACACTGTCGAGATAGCGAGAGCGAGAGCTAGGATGGTGAGCAAAATTACTAACAAAAAGGTCCCAGAAAATGAAAATAGTTATTACTTATGGAACACCTTCTCTTCCATAGACATTTATCACATGCCAGAATGGATCAACAATCGTCAATAGGCGAGGTGGTGCATGTATACTGAGTGTTGTACAGCTTGAAGTTTCTCGTTGCAAGATACGCAACATGAGCGTCTACCCGCATATACAACCCCCACTGACTCCAGGAACCCACCCGTCTCGGGTACTGCTTAAATGGTGAAAGCTTAAATGCCATTTTGGGAATATCATAGCTGATTGAGACAGTGTATCATGGGCTCTGTGCCTTCCTATTTACCCCTGAGTTACGTAACACCGGGTAGGTACTATCTTCCACCACGCTTATGTTACTGTTTTGTTGAATCTAATACGAGTCGTCATACATCCGCAACTCTTATAGCCTATCCGGATAGATACTCGCGAATATTGATTCAATTATAGTGTAGTAATTTACACTTTAATGGCTTCGACTCCTGGAAATACCCCAGAGTCCACCAAAGCAGTCATTAATACTCTTTCCGTATCCTTTTCTTAGTAAACTTCTGATAAGCGTTTGAATAATAAGCTGTAATAGTCTAGCAGGCAGATAACTAGGTAGTTGCATTGAAAAGGGCTCCTTTAGGTCTACCGTCTTCTTAGTATTGACTGAGTCCTCTGGTACTTTTACTCGTTCTTATTAAAAGGCTGCATTGAGACCCAGAAACGCTGCTGGTGCCCATCTGATATAATTCTTGTTTAGTACAATGGTCGTAAGGAGAGGAACGATTAAAGTGAAATCGAAAAGTAACAATATCTTACCGAATGTTTCCGTAGAACCGTATCCGCAAGTTATTAACACTAGGACAGTTGAGGTGAAGTTTGAAATTTCATCTCATAGGTGATCTACTTGTACCATTAAGGGAGTTCATTCCTGGGCATAAATCAAATATAAGTCTACTGTTCCGAAATGCAGTTTTCCTGCAACAGTACCTCATTAGAAATCAAGGGTTTAATTAAGTAAAATATTCTCCATATAGTAAAGCTTAATTAGAGAATGTAAAGAAGAAGCCGGTATATAATTACTTATATACAATGAAGAAAAATAAAAAAGAATGAATTTGCGTGGTAACTAATTTCTTTTGATAATGACACTTATTCAAAATTTATCCAACCTTTATTTCAAAAGTGCAAACACGGCGTCCATAGTTTTACAAAGACGTATAATAAGTTTACATGCAATCAACTGAGGATTGTATCACATTTGAGTAACGCGTAATCTGAGACCTTGATGGCTAACGGCAAGGCCTGCATGTAGTATATAAATGGAGCTTGAATGGAAACAGTTAAAGTTGCAATAGCCGATATACTAGTAAAAAGGACCAGAGAAACTTGCCAAAGAGAAGAAATCACTAGCTTGTAAGCAATGATGTCATGTTTGATGGCTACAAAGGCCTATTGGTGTTACAAGTACTGAATAAGGCTTCGGTTATATTGCAATATGATAGAGCTACCGTTGGAAGATTCAGCGTGTAACCAGAGTACGAAGATCTCGTCCGCCGAACGGCACGCACTATGCTGTACATGGAAGCACCCGGTATTCCCATTTGATATGAATCATTCCCAAAGTGAATATCACCATGCCGACCGATTAGCTCCCCCATGCTCTAATATGGATAATCCCAAAGTAGCCTTTCCTGTCTAGGGAGCGTACAGCTGCGATTACTGATGAGAACGGCTTAAGGCAGTTACGTCGGTTATGTAGGTTGATAGGTTGATAGATATGCGGAGCGTCACAAAACGGGACGTCTGCGGGAAGGATGGTTGCTCAACATTTAACTCAACATTTAAGTATCAATGTAATATATTTATTAGGTAGGTAGTTATCTCGTCCGGACACGGAATTAGGCCCGACGTCATATGTAAGCCTTCAATCACGGAGCCGGAGCTTCCTTGTAGAGACCATCGGCGATGACATCAACATTAATATAGTCATTATCTAGGCACACCGTTATCTATTGCCGTAGGAGTTATATTACGAGATAGTTCCGGTTCCAGAAATAGGGGTGCGAGATTAGATTATGGTGATATGGTGACTTACTACTTGCACCGCATGTTTGACAGATATATCTTATATCGAGAGATAATCATTTGTAGTTTATCAAGCAAGAAGTAGTCAAGAACAGTCAATATACATAAAAACCTGCACGCTAGCACGTAGCTTTTTGTGAATGATAGATAACAGAAGACCTCATAAATCATGATGTGCCCCTTCATTTTACTTTATGATTGAAATCGATCACTTGCAGGTTAATATCAGTGTGACAGCCCTTTCCGTTAGCCCCGTCCTACCCATATGAAATAGATGTTTTTAAGTCATCTTATCAAATAATTTCTCGAGATGCTGGTGAAATACTAAATAGATGCGATTTCGGTTCAAGTTCATCGTGTCGCCTGCTGTATCATCCGTTGGCACCCGCGGTTGCAGCTCAACGTAAATTTGTCGGTAGGATCGTCAATCGGAAGCCTACGACAACGGAACCCGGCTCTAGTTCAACGCATCAAACCGTGTATTACTCGGGGTTGGTTACTCATAGAAGTTAGATGTGATATCTAGAGATAAGAGCTATAGTTGAGCGTATAGTTAAGAGGTATCGAAGCCCTGCTCAGAAATCGGGAAAATATAACCTAGAGAAAGTTATCAAAAGAACCCAGTACATTAAAAATATATTCTCTAGTACTTATATATCATCCCAATATCGTTCAAGGGCATATTCTCCTCGACTCAACCTTTACTGAAGCCGATATATTCAACATACTACACCATGGCCCCATATATGAACCCGTCCGGGTCTACTTCCCCAGTAAGATGATACTCTGTTTAAGTGACCACAAAGTCTCCAGCTGACGTACTTAAAAGGCATCAGACTCATCTCACACCAATTATCATGGCCCAACAGAAAATGGAGTACCAGTTGCGATCTGCGGTATGGCACTTCGCCTTCCAGGAGGTATTTCCACGCCAAATGAATTCTGGGACTTCCTAGTTAAGAAACAGGATGCACGAGGTCTTGTCCCTAAGTCGAGATACAATTCCTCTAGCTTTTACTGCAAGTCTCGCAAGCCCGGCCATATCGCCACTCAATATGGATACTTTCTCGACGAATCCGTGGATATCGGTGCTCTCGACACGAGCTTCTTCAGCATGCCTAAGATCGAGGTAGAACGGGCAGATCCGCAACAGCGAATTCTATTGGAACTTACCAGGGAGTGCCTCGAAAGTGCCGGAGAAGTTGACTACCGCGGCAAGACTATTGGAACATTTGTTGGATCGTTCGGTGAGGACTGGCTGGAATTATTCGTTAAAGATCCCCAGCTATATGGTACCTATAAGATTACTGGTTATGGCGACTTTGTGCTGTCGAACAGAATATCGTACGAATATGATTTCAAAGGACCCAGTATGGTCATCCGCACTGGTTGCTCTTCGGCTTTGATCGGTCTTCATGAGGCATGTATGTCGATTCGGTACGGCGAATGCAACTCCGCCATTGTAGCTGGTACCAATCTAATCATGGCCCCGGGACTCACCGTCTGTATGTCTGAGCAAGGAGTTCTATCTCCGAACGGTTCGAGCAGAACATTCGATGCTGATGCCGATGGATATGCACGTGGAGAAGCGCTTAACATGGTCTACATCAAGAGGCTTGACCATGCAATCCGTGACGGCAACCCTATCCGTGCTGTTATCAGAGGCACGTCTAACAACGCCGATGGTAAGACACTCGGTCTCAGTGTTCCAAGCTCCCAATGTCACGAGGCAATGATTCGCAGAGCATACCACGTAGCCGGGATTTCGGACATCGCAAAGACCGCCTACGTTGAGTGTCATGGTACCGGAACCGCAGCCGGCGACCCAATCGAAGTAGCTGCAGTGGCTAATGTTTTCGGCGACACGGGGGTATACATTGGCTCCGTGAAGCCAAACGTTGGTCATTCAGAAGGAGCATCTGGAATCACGTCACTTATCAAGGCAATTTTAGCACTAGAGAACCAGACTATCCCCCCTAACATCAAGTTCAACAAGCCCAACCCTAGAATTCCATTCGAGGAAAAGAAGCTCAAAGTTCCCATCGAACCTACCCCCTGGCCAGAGGATAGACACGAACGTGCTTCTGTCAATTCCTTTGGTATTGGTGGCGCCAACGCTCACGTTGTTATTGAGTCCGCAAGAATGTACTTCGGGAACGCTCAAATATTGGGCCAGAGACTGTCACCTGTAAAGACTCAGCTGCTGTTGTTTTCCGCCAATACTTCGGACTCGTTAAGACGACAGGTTGTCCAGAATCAGAAATATATCGAAGACTTCCCCGAGGCAGCAAACGATATGGCGTATACTCTTGGTGTAAGGCGTACACACTTACCACACAGGACATTTTCGGTGGTAGACAAAGGCATCCTAGCCAGTACGGCGCCTTTTATCAAGGCACCCCCATCACCACCCGACCTCATTATGATCTTCACCGGCCAGAGCGCACAGTGGCCGCAGATGGGTCTCGAGCTTCTCCAATCAAACGCCACTTTCAAGAAGTCAATCTACCACATGGAAAATGTCCTTAAAGCCCTCCCCGACCCCCCTACTTGGTCTCTAATAGATGAATTGACCAAGCCAGCTGAGACAAGTAAGCTGGACAAAGCTTATCTCTCCCAGCCCTTATGCACCGCGATTCAGATTGCTCTAGTCGACGCGTTGTCTGAGCTTGACATCAAACCTTTTGGTGTGGTTGGCCACTCATCCGGCGAGATAGCAGCCGCGTATGCTGCTAAGAAAATTACCGCCGAAGAAGCCATCATTGCCGCGTACGACCGTGGTATCGTATCCGACAAGGTGAAAAGGCCAGGGGCCATGGCTGCCGTTGGCCTAGGTAGGGAAGAAACGACACCGTTCCTAGTGCCCGGCGTCATCATCGCTTGCGAGAATTCGCCTTCTAGCGTCACTATATCCGGCGATAAAGAAGCGGTAGATGACGTTTTGCAGGCGATACATTCAGAGAAGCCTGACACATTCGCTCGCGCTCTGAAGGTTGAAAAGGCGTACCACTCCCATCATATGACGGAGGTTGGCGAGACGTACAATAGCCTAGTCTCTCGTCACGTCGGAAGTAAATCAAAATACGCAGTTTCTAAGAATATCGAGCACAGACCGGTCTTCTTCTCTACCGTAACAGGAAAAAGGCTCCTCGACACCGATGTCACAGATTCTAGATATTGGCAGTCAAATCTTGAATCTCCTGTACTTTTCAACACTGGGGTTGCCAACTTGGTCATTTATCATAATGCTAATAGTAAGGCGAGCCTTATGTTCTTGGAAATCGGGCCTCATTCGGCATTGGGTGGACCGCTCCGTCAAATTCTTGCAAAGTCGTCCGCTAGTTATCCATACGTATCTTGCCTCGTCCGTGGTAAAAATGGAAGCGAGACTTTCCTTTCGGCTGTCGGTCAGCTTTGGGTCCAGAACGTACAGATCAACCTCAACCGCCTAACCAATCCGGATGGCACCGCTCGCGTTGTCCCAGATTTGCCCACATACCCTTGGCAACACAACGACTCCTTTATGTTGGATAATCGTATCGCTAAGGAATGGCGGTTCCGCAAATTTCCCAAGCATGAACTATTAGGCATCCGTGTTACAGAAAGCACAGACGGCGAGCCTGTCTTCCGGAACGTTCTGTCGCTTGATCATATTCCATGGATACAGGACCACAATATCAAAGGGGATATCATCTTCCCATGCGCGGGATACGTAGGCATGGCAGGTGAAGCGGCCCGTCAATTATGCGAGGGTTCGTATACAGGTTTTGCTTTACGCCAAGTCGTCATTGACGCGGCCATGGTCTTAACAGAATCCAAATCAACCGAGATCATCACCAGTGTACGTCGAGCACCGCTCACCGATACTCTAGACAGCACATGGTGGGATTTTATCGTCAGTTCGTACAATGGGACATCGTGGACGAAACACTGCTCGGGCCAATTCTCTGCCCTAACCAGCCCACCATTAAGCGATAGAGCAGAAGACGCATCTAAACTTCCCCGTCTAGTCGAGTCCGCGAAGTGGTATCAAGCCCTCGGAAATGTCGGGGCAAACTACGGGAAGGATTTTCAAGGCTTGTCTAATTTATCATGCTCGACGACGCAACACCTCTCTAAGGGGAGGGCGATACACACGGTTGACATCGACGATAGCATCTATTGTGTTCACCCCACCAAGGTTGATTTCTTCCTCCAACTATTCAGTGTTGCCGCAACCAACGGCCTAACACACAAGTTGGATAAGATGAACGTCCCAACATTCATAGAATACATGGAGACCTATAAATGCGACTCGGAGATCGACATTGCTATCAGAGCAACCCAGACTCGGCGTGGTGTCCTGTGCGGCGGGGGTGAGGGATTCGGCGTCGAGGGGAAAATGGCGCTCAAGATGAAAGGTGTAAAGCTGAGTCCTATCGAAGGGGACGCCGCAGCCGAGAACCCCGATCCTCATGCTGGCGCCAGAACGTTCTGGCGACCGGATATCGACTTCGTCGACGCAACATCCTTGATTATCCCACACAAAGAGCAAGAGCAGTACATGCCTATATGCGAAGAATTTCACCGTGTCTGCGTCCGCGAGGCTCTCGTTCGTCTTCGAGGCGTTCTAACAGATATCCCCCATTTCCGAAAGTTCAAAGCATGGCTAGAGAAGCAGCCTGAGCCTGAGCCTGGGAGCTCATTTGATTTTCTTGCCAACATCCTATCTCCAACCACGATGAATCCCTTAGTAGTTGCGTTCACTAAGATTCTCGATAGCATAGTCCCCATGTTTAAAGGTGAGATCGATCCAGTCGCAGTTCTAATGGAGGACAACGCTCTGACGAATATTTACACTTATCTCGACCTCTGTAATCGCAAAGAATTGTTCCAGACCCTGGGCCACGCGAAACCAAACCTTCGTGTTCTCGAGGTTGGGGCTGGTACAGGTGGCCTCACAAACACTATCCTCAAGAACCTCAGAAACTCGGAGAATGGTTCTCTTATGTATTCCGAGTATACCTACACTGATATCTCATCCGCGTTCTTTAGCGCCGCCAAAACGCGGTTCGAGGCATACCCTAACATGAGCTTCCAGGCGCTGGATATCACCAAGGACCCACTCGCTCAGGGGTTTGAAGGAGGTTCGTACGATCTCATCGTTGCCGCAAATATCTTGCACGCCACACCCAGTCTTAAAGAAACACTCGGCAACGTACGCAAACTGCTCCATCCGGAGGGTCGTTTATATATGGAAGAATTGTGCCCCGAAAGTAAAGCCATCAATTTTGTCATGGGTATCTTCCCAGGATGGTGGCTTGGTGCAGACGATAATCGAGTAGATGAACCTTATGTCCCCCCTGAGAGGTGGGATGAGTACTTGCGTCAGGCTGGCTTCGCTGGTTTGGAACATGTAGCTCTCGATTGTCCTCGGCCGACACAATTCGATGCCATTATGACAGCCAAGCCAGCAGTTGAGATTCAACGGCGCCGCGCAACGACTGTCATTTACGGTGACGACACTTCGATTATTGCCGCACAACTGAAGGAAAAGCTAGAATCGGACGGTTATACAGTTGGATTGCACCATTGGGGAGAGCCAGGCCTTCCCACAGATGAGGATATGCTTGCTGTGGTCGATCTTAATAAGCCCATATTTGAAGATATTGGTCGGGATGGTTTCGCGGCCTTCCGCAAATTTGTGTCCGAGGTATCAGAGTCCGGTGCTGGCATCCTCTGGCTTACCCGGGCCTCTCAAGTCAGAGCTCAGGACCCTCGTTGGGCACAAATCATCGGCGCTATGAGGACAATTCGTGGCGAGCTGAGTGCCGACCTTGCCACATGCGAGATGGATCAGGTCAACACTGCGAATTTGTCCGCGGCGTTGAAAATATTCCAGAAATTCCATAATCGAAAGCGGGAAGAAAATCTACATCCCGAGTATGAGTATGCCATCGTGGATGGGGTTGTGCACATACCCAGGATATATCCTGTCACAGTTAACGATGAACTGCGCGAACCACGGCTGGATGAGGCGTCCGAAGTAGGATACGACCTTAGAGTTGGCAAGTACGGACGGCTGAATACCTTAGCGTGGACTGCGATCTCATTGAAACCCTTAGTAGGGGATGAAATTTTAGTTGAGACGAAAGCTTTCGGGATGAACTTCAAGGTACGTATACTGCCAGCACGATACTCCCATCATATTGAGCTATGAAAAACATACTGATACGCTGCAGGACGTCCTAGTCGCCATGGGCATCGTAGAGAATAGAGTCAAGACAACGCTCGGTATTGAAGCATGCGGTATTATCAGCAAAGTTGGCCCAGACGTCAAGGATCTTCGTCCAGGAGACAGAGTGTTCTTATTTGGAGAAGGTTGCTTCTCAACCCAACTGGTCCTACCGCAGAAGGTATGTGCTAAGATCCCCGACTCCCTCAGCTTCGACGATGCTGCAACCATGCCCTGCGTCTTCGCCACCGTCATATATGGGCTTCTTGACGTCGGCCAACTACAAGAGAAGCAGACGCTACTGATCCACTCGGCTTGTGGTGGTGTCGGACTCGCAGCCATCCAAGTGGCCAAGATGATTGGTGCAGATATTTACTGTACCGTGGGCAACGAAGAGAAAGTCCACTATTTGATGTCCACCTTCATGATCCCAAGGAACCGCATATTTAATTCCCGCGATAAGTCGTTCTTAGGGGATATCATGGCGGCGACGAACGGCCGCGGAGTAGACATGGTTCTAAACTCCTTATCGGGAGAACTTCTTCACACATCCTGGGAATGCGTGGCGGAATTTGGAAAGATGATCGAAATCGGAAAACGCGATCTTATCGGCAACGGGAAACTGGCATTAAACGTTTTCGAGCTGAATAGGAGCTACCACGGCATAGACTTGGGCCATATTATGGATGTGAGAAGAGATCTTGGTAACAGGTAACTCACCGACCTAGATTAGAATATGGCTAAGTTGGGATACTAATGATATACCAGCCTACTCAAAAGAATCGCCAAGTATTACGAACAGGGTCATATTCAACCCATCAGACCCGTCAAGATCTTTACGGCCGACGCCATCGGGGATTGCTTCCGTTACATGCAAAAGGGCCAGCACATCGGGAAAATCACAATCACTCTAGATTGTCCGGAAGCTAAGGCTTTGACGAAACGGCAGCCGACCCGGAACATTCAATTCCAAAGCAACGCCTCTTACCTACTCGTCGGTGGTTTAGGTGGCCTTGGCCGTGCCGTCTCTAATTGGATGGTTGAGCACGGCGCTCGCCACCTGATATTCCTCTCACGTCGCGCCGGCGAGACCGCAGAGGATCAAGCCTTCTTTGAGGAACTGAAAAGCCAGGGGTGTAAGGCTACTGCTGTGAAGGGCAGTGTCGCTTCTCTCTTCGATGTAGAGCGCGCTGTGACGGTTAGCGGTATCACCCTAAAGGGAATATTAAACGTCTCCATGGTCTTACGGGACCAGAGCTTCATTAATATGTCGTACGACGACTGGAAACAATGCGCGGACCCCAAGGTACTGGGGACGTGGAATCTACATAACGCAACCGTAGGGCGCGGGCTCGATCTTGACTTGTTCGTCCTCTTCAGTTCAATCTCAGGGATCGTAGGTCAGAGGGGTCAAGCCAATTATTCCGGCGCCAATACATTCCTCGACAGCTTCGTGCAGTACCGTCATAGCCTCGGTCTCAATGCGTCCGCTGTTGATATAGGTGTTATGCTTGACCACGGCTATGTCGCCGACAACCCCATGGTTCGTGAACGTCTCCTATCGCAGGGTATCTTCGGCATTCGTATCGCCGAAATGCTTGATGCCCTTACCGCTGTTATCGTCGCCCCACGCCCAGCTATCCAGGACGCCAAGAGCGCACGCTCCAAGCCGTTTGTCAGCCGCAGTGAGCTGCTCATAGGCATGCGTAGCACTACAGCTCTCACTGACGTATCCAACCGTGTGCCTTGGAAAGGCGACCGCCGTGTGGGCGTGTATCTAAACAGCAGTTCCGGTACTTCGCCGACGAGATCCGCAGCGACATCAAGCGAGCTACTATCATTCATATCATCAGCCGTCAGCAACCCAGCGGTTCTTTCCACACCAGACGCGGTTATCTTCGTCGCGATTCAGATTTCGAAGCAGCTCCTAAACCTACTTATGAAGCCCGTAGAGAGCGATACCGAAATTGACATCAACCGGACTCTACAGGAAATGGAATTCGACAGCCTCGTGGCAGTAGAAATGAGGAGCTGGTGGAAATCGACTTTCGGCTTCGATATTAGCGTTTTGGAGATGCTGGGAGCGGGCAGTATGAAGGCACTGGGCGAGAAAGCGGTAGAAGGTTTGAGGGTGAGATTCGGCGCATCTGAGAATGAGGATGACGGCGCGGTAAAGAAGTACACGCATGAAGAGGTAATTCTGACGAAGATGCCATGATTATTCAACTTTTAGGGTTGTTATGTTGGATGTTTTATTTTATAATCAGATTATAAGGTATAGTAAGAGAGGAAGTTATATCTGAGTTATAATGACGAACACTTGTCTTTAGGAGCTTTATTTAGTGTGTTCCACTAATCCAAGAATTCGCGGTGCGCATAATAAATCGTTTGAGAATGTGCAAGAATTGAATGTCTTAATATCCGGGTGTAACACGAGGCATTCCGGGTGTAACACCAGGCATCGGCTCGGACCGCACGGATAGATCCGTCAAGTACATCGCAGATAGTTACAATTCTAGGGCTAGCACACACAACCCTTTTACCGATACGTACCTTAAACACTAATGAATAACTTCTTGAGAATCAAGATCCTTTTTAAAATATTGTGACATTAGCATCATTATCGATCTTCTCTATTATGGGTCCTCTATAGGGATTCTAGCGTGATATAGAAACTCATCTAACCTAGCGACCACTGTCCTTAATACCCTTGCGGATTCCGCGCTGCCATAATAGCGCTGATGTCCTCCGCTAAGCTCGTAGGAAGCGGATCTCTTACCGCGGCCGTCTCTAGCGCCGAGAATACTGCCTTGACACCTATGCCAACATCTTGGCTCCCTGTTAGAGTCTGTAGTTCGCTTAGTGCCTCGTTGATCTCCGCTGGCCCATCAAATTTGCCCGAGGCGGCCAGGAGAGCTTGAAGCTCACGATGGTCCTTGACAGCCGGTACGGCAATCTCTCTATCCCATGCGAATACGCCATGTTGATCCAACATGGATCGCTGGCTCGTTGTAGCTATAATAAGGAGTCTGCGATTCTGCGCAAGTTGTAAGTATTCCAGAAAAATCAAACATATTTAGGAACGACATACCTTGGGCGGTCGGGTTTCTAGTACAGCACCTAGATACTGCACGACGGCATTGGAGAACCTCGGTCCGATAGGGTTCCAGTCGATGATTTTCTCGACGCTGTCTAGAATGACGATAGAAAGAGCTGACTTATACGCATCGGAAAAGGCACGACGCAGATATTCGAGTTTAGCTCCTTCATTTGTCCCAACATCAATCGGTCTGATGAGTTTGACAAATGGGAATTCCGACTTCAATCCAATCTCTGCGGCCAAGGCCGTCTTTCCGGCACCATGAGGACCGTGAACCAAAACAGAGAACAGAGGAGACTTCTCGGAAGTCCGAACTGCTTGGACAAAGCTGAGGCCTGTGGAAAGGATGGATTGGATGTGCGGGCTATAGTCGATGACCCCGTACGGGGCAGCGCCACTGAGTTCTTCCTCAGAAATTCCAAAGGCTGGCTTAACGTCTTCCAATGCTCTCATGAAATCGGCCCGTGTCAACATCACATCCTGGGGATTACCCTGAACACCAGTGACGTCTCCGAGTTTCGTATGTCTAGTAAAGGCATAGGACAAAGCAGCCTTCACTAGACCGGAAATCTCCGCACCCGAATAATTCTTGGTCAAATGAGCGAGCTCCTCTAAGCTAACATCATCGGCCAGTTTATTGATCGCCCTAATCTTGGCAGTGTGGATCTGTAGCAAGTCAGTAACTAACCTCCCGAGATGTAATGTTGGTTTAGGGGTGTCCCAAAAAGATCACTCCCTGAAAGCCGGCTAAGGCCATTTCCTCTAAGGTAAATCGAGAAGAGAGAACAATTTCAGATGTGACTTACATTAAGGATTTGTATCCGGCCATGTTCATCAGGCAATGAAATTTCCACGTGCACTTCAAGACGTCCTGGTCGCAATAGCGCATCATCAATCATGTCCTTCCGGTTGGTCATACCAATAAGCAAAATGTTATTGAGTTGATCAACACCATCAAGCTTAGAAAGAAGTTGGTTGACTACGCTGTCACCAACGCCAGTCCCTCCAGTCCCGCTACCTCTCTGCTTGCAAACAGCGTCCAGTTCGTCGAAGATAATAATATGTAAACCACTCTCTTCCCCTTTCTCCTTGTACTCCTTCTCCGCATCCGCAAACATCTTTCGCACGTTTTCCTCGGACTGGCCCACGTATTTATTAAGGATTTCCGGACCATTGATGATTTTAGGTTCGCGGGCATTTAACATCTTGCCGATCTGCCTTGCGATCAACGTTTTACCCGTTCCCGGCGGGCCATAGAGCAGAACACCCTTTACGTGAGAGATGCCCATCTGCTCGACTAAGCCCAGAGGAAAAACTCGAGAAGCAAAAGCGCGTCGAAAAATCGTACTGAATTCTTCGTCTAGACCTCCAATGCCCATATCGGCAAACTTGAAATCCGGCCTTAGGATAGCATTTGTGGCGGGTCGTCTCGTTGAGCCTTTGAGCTTGATGGGATTTTTGGCATCTTTGAAAAAATTGATTTCAGTTTGACCCTGGCCAGCCACAAGCAGACCCCTGGTATCGGGCCTCGAAGACGAATCTGAAGCCTGGCCCTTCTCGTTTCCAAGTAGGTCGAGAAGCTGAACCGTCTTAACCACAAACATCAACGGTATTCCCTTGTAGTCCATCAATAATCGTTGGCCAGGGGCAAAGATTTGGCCTTGGAACATTTTGATGAAATAGTCTGCAAGCTCATCCTGGTCATATGGGACATCTGTTATCTTCCTCTGGGACGCAAATCCAACCTCAACGTCCATGGCTGACAGAGGGACCTTATGATCATATCTTTCGGCAATAATTGTGTCGGTCATACTAATACCGCACCACGTTCGTTGGGGGTCGGATAAGCTTATACACCCTTGTGGGATATACTCGGTCGGACGGGCGGTCACAACGAATTTTCCGTTGAGTAGGATATGCAAGTCTTTACCGTATTGGTCGGGAGGGAAATCTTGAGGCGAGACGGCAACAAGGTTTCCAAATATGTATTGCTGAGATAGATCGCCCTTATCTAATTTGGCCAACCTAAGCTGGACGGGACGACCCTGGGGAGCGTTGGGCCGTGTATTCCTCTGCTGAGGCGCCATATTGTTTCCACCGTAACCCGGCGACGGTGCACCGTAAGCACCTCTTGGATCATATTCGGCAGGGCCATTATAATCTCTCGGCGGTCGGCTCTGGGGGACTTGATTGTAACTGCCTTGCTCAGGACCTGGTCGTCCGGGTAGACCTCCGCCGCCGCCACGGGGCCCTCTACCGAAGAGGTTGTTTCGCAAATCCATGGCTCCGGTATCGTGGTTGAGAGAACGAAAGTTGTTAGAGGTTGTGCACTGTTACTAATTAGACAGGTATCAGTTAGCAAAAAGAAACAGATGTCAAACTATAACCGGCGCAATATCCACGGACAAGTCTTGAAGATATAATGGACGACTTAGAAGGATTCCAGACCCTATGTCATTTTCTTTGCTCTGGATTCAAAAGTTGCGGACTCAACCGAAAATTGAAAAAGCCAAGTTGCGGTTTGTCAGAAGCAAGGCTTATCTTAGCTTAGGTACGAAACGTGAGCTGACGTCGGTTACGTCGCAGCTTGAGCTGATGATGCTTTGAAACTAATGATGGCGCACTAGCCTTGATGTGGCTTAGGTGCTAGCGGGGTAGTATTCTAGCTATTGATTGGCTACCAGAAGAACCTTGTGTTTACATCGCGATAAGACTTTGATCTTAGGTGCGTACTTCGTATGTTTTAACAAAATAAATCAGTATAATTCATCTTTACGCTACCTAGGTAGGTAGGTACCTAGGTATGCATGATTTACATTCTATATCTTTACCTCAAAACCCAGAACCCCCCACAAAACACCTAACCATTATGTGCATCGTTTACCCGGGCATGTCGGCGCAAATATCACTTAAACCACTTCTCAATACCCTATACCCAGAGATTATATACATTACCTCCATTACCAATACCACCTATATCTAAGGAGCCCCATCAAGCATACGGAATATAGCATTGCTCCCAGCCAAAATATACTCATTTTCTATCCTATTCATAAGCATCTTCCTCCTTATCCGTGATATTCATCCGTTTCTTGAATTTTCTCGTAATCAGTCGCTCGTGATGGTGCGAATAGGGAACGAGTATTGAACCGAACCTCCCCGGGGGAATATGGCGTTGTCAAGCTCGGAGGAGGCATTTGAAACTCCGAGTCTCCCATCATCTCGTAGACTCTAGGGTCCGCTGATAGTTCGTATTTACTCGAGTATTCTAGTTCGTGTGGACCCTGGTTCGGCCCCAAAGTCCAACTAGGAGGTCTCGGGGACGACTGTTGTGAGGAGGAGCTCGGCGTACTGTTTCTCCTCGAAACCTCCAAGGTTGGGCGGTGTGCCTCGAGACACGCCTGTACGAAGGATTTCCGAACTAGTGGTGGACCAGTCAGCGTAAAAGAGCCAGAGGGGGAGGTAAGGGAAAGGGAAACCAAGAGAAGCTTACTCTCCGAGTTTAAGAACTCTATTTCTAGATATTCTAAATTTCGAACATCATCAGGCGGCTCTATTCCTCGGCCTTCGTACAACATAAGAGGCGGGGTTTTTACTGAAGAGGAGCGTGACCGTGAAGTCGAATGCGAATCTGATATATTCGTCTGGGCCGAACTCCCGGATAATCTTTTCATTCCAAACGTGAAAGATAACCTTCGCGGCTCGACGGGTTCGGGCTCATCCACCAAGTCGTCACCCTTCGAATATAATCTTAGTACCAGCTTGGTCTCTCCTCTTAGTTCCGGGTTCTTTTTAAACCATCGAATATGAAACTCCATGTGGGCAATCTCATTTGCCGCGAAGGAAAAAGTTGGTCTGTCATCTTGAGGGCTACGTCGCCAAACTTTCAAATGGAACTTCATAGCAATGTCTTTGCCTTTAGCACTATGTACCTTCAGGGCTCTTATTATCTCAAAGTGGTCGCAACCTCGGACAGCTTGTTGGAAACTCTCCCTGTCAGCCTTACGCCGAAATCGGTACTCCGGTTTCTCTTGGAGACTCTCGGTTCCATTATCTATCGTTATAAGTTTGAACTGGTGCGAGGCGTTTATCGGGAGAAATCGCACTTTGTAGGGCCCTGAGTCCCCAGGTATCGTATATGGAATGACACGTCTATCAGGAACTAAGCTAAATCAGTACTGTAGCCTCTAAGATATTTACGGTTTTGTTATCTAACCGAAATGTTGAATTATAAGTCGAGAGCTACTATTGGTCCATTCTATCACTCTATCTCTACCAATGTCAAGGACCCTGTAGTCGCTACTACTTAGTTGGTATGACTGGGAGCCGATACGTCTAATATTCTAGTGTCAGCGAATCGAAAAACGAGAAGTGTAAGGTTACAAACAATAATACCGAATGTCCTAGGCGACGGGAGTGCGACGTTGGTGAAGTCGACAGCCCTACCGGAGATAATGATGCCGTATTGTTCGTAGGCCCGGTACGCGTTGATTCATTCATTATATTTTCGCGGCCATAGCCTCTAAGATGTGCCAGAACAGGACCGACCTCTGATCCTGATTGACGCTGTCGATACGACCCTGCGTCGGAGAATGAGTATTCTCCTACTTGCGGCGATGGAAGCTCGTTTATCGAAGGGAGGGAGGGATTCCGAGAAACTGCTCTGAGCGTAGGGGTTGCTACTTGGGTAGCAGTAAAGCTAACAAATGCTTCTTCAACAGACCTCTCGGGTGACTCGGGCTGCAGCGATGATTCAGCTATCGTATTAGGCGCTGGGTTTAACTGACTACTGATTTGGTGCTTCGCGATCATTCTGTTTTAAACCCCGTTTAGTAGGGCTCCAAGGCCAACACTAATAGAGAACTTACGATTCTCCAAGCTGCATAACCGCCTTTTCCAGGCCAGTCGTTTTCCATAGTTGAAGTGCTGGGTAGTGATCTAATATTCTTCTATGAAGATCCTGGATCCTAGAATTATCCGGGCCAACGACGAGGGCGAGTCGTTGACTAGTTCCACTGAATGTTCGACCTGCTAATAACGCCGACTCATATTGGCGGAGGAAATTGTTGCACTCGGTTAGAGTCTCAATAATAGCGTCAGCCCCGGGGTAGATAAGGCCCGATGAGGCGCTATCCTCGTGGGCACCATCTATTATTCCATCAACGATGGTGTGAAATTCTTTAAGTCGATCATTGAGACGTCTAAGTTTATCTGGAACTTTGTCATTCTTCCCAAAAAATTCGAGGGCTATCTTAGAGCCAAGTTCGAAGACGGAAAATGAGAGTTGGACGATCGTTAAAATTGTCCCAGGCTCCATGTTAGACCCAGGAGAAGGGAACTGCCACGCGAGCCCTTCCTAGACTAGAGCCCGGTCTCACATAAGGGAACTGTGGGGGGCGGCTCAAAGCTATCTGTAGAGATATGAACTAACGTAATGTATATAATATCACGGCTGGGCCATGTTTCCAATGAGGATTGGACGCGAGCATAGTTACAATTTAGTGAATTGGAGATCGGACAGGGATGTGTTAAAAACGCCCAATAAGAGGTCTTATTCAGGCCACGTTCCTGACGAGACTATTGTAGGTATTTATATCGATATAACCGTGCTACCCCTGGGTCAGCCCAACCCGTCCAGCAATTCGTATTGCTACAGTATCTAGAAGTAGCAAGCATGTCTTATATCTCGTGTAATTTATGTCGCGCAGCACGTTTTCCATCAGCTTAGCTAGCCTTATAGATACCGAGTTGTAACCGTATACGGACCCGAATGTAGAGTGCATTGTCGACTTTTTGCATGATCGAGGCATCTTCGTGGTCTACATCATGACTTACCATTGAATGAGAGATTCCCATTTCTAAATGAAAAGTACAGATATTGATAAGTCGAAAGAGTGGCAATGCCAGCTCCTATTCGATAATCGGCAGCTTAAAGCGTCACCGAAATCACTTTCAAATAAATAGACGATACGGCTGGGACGCTCTAGAACCTGCTGTGATCTCTTTAGCGAAGTCGTAAAGGATACCTTGCGGCCCATAAGGCATTCTTTCCCTTCTAATCGGGCATTGTTACCGACGGCGGTAGCATCATGCCGTGACACCTAGGCGTATTCCAGAGCACGAATCCTCGTAGCTCGACACTTATATAACTGCTAAGACGCAGTCCATCCTATTCAGAAATAAACCGATATCCTTTCTAGATTATCAGAGTTCCCTCCAAATCATACCTATACGATGGGTGGGTATTTCTCTAGTCTTAAAGCTGGCACGCGCCAAATTGCCCACGAGATAGATTGTGTATGTAATGGAACCCCCCCAGCCGTAACACGGGCTTTGCCTTTTTAACCAACTGCGGCTATATAGGACCTCGATGATCCCGAGAGAACGGTGCAATCTGTGATTGACTACCCAGGCCTAGACAAGTTTCAGTGGAAAGTGTGGTGGGTTGCTGCATCCGGATTTTTCACGGCATCTTACAGCCTTTTTGCTGTAAATGTCATAAGCCCGTCCTTAAGTTATGTCTATCCAGAATGTGCTACCGGCATGTTAACCAACTCATTGGTTATCAACCTGACTACGTTGGCTGGGACGATGGTCGGTATGCTTCTATTCGGATACCTGGCTGATAGATATGGCCGGAAGGCTATCTATGGCTTAGAGTTAAGTATCGTGGTAGCGGCTACAGTGGGGATGACAACAGCATCTTCAGGTCATGGAAACTCGATGAACGTATATGGTTGGATTGGTTTCTGGCGTACTATGTTGGGTATAGGTCTCGGCGCAGAGGTCAGAAACGACCGCAAAGGCGAGATTTCTTTCCATATGTAATTGCTAACAGTGCATAGTATCCGCTCTCAGCCATAATTGCGTCGGAGTGGTCCTCCACTAGGTCTCGAGGCAAAATGATCGCGGCGGTATTCCTCATGCAATCTCTGGGACAACTAGCTGCTTATGCCTTTGGATTGGCTATCCTTAAGGGGCTTAGTGATTATCGTGGTTTATCCCCGACTGAAACAAACTACGAGGTAGCATCGCCAGTCATCGATATCGTATGGAGAACGACAATCGGGATTGGGGCGTTCCCAGCTCTTGTCTCGCTCATGCTGAGGCTAATAATTCCTGAAACGCCTCAATATTTAGTGGCCAAAGGAGAGCTTGCAGGAGCTGTCAAAGCTGTTCGCCATGTTATTCCGGTAAACCCGACTCTCCAGCCTATGGATCAAACCGGGCTTGCGGCCCCCCGACGCTCGATAGATACCCCTATACCCGATTTTGGAAGCCAACGGAATAGTCGGTGGACATCAATGGTAAAATATATCTCCGAAGTCAGAGAGCATCTTGCCGAGAAGGGACGCTGGCGTGCACTTCTAGGAGTTATGATAACTTGGTATCTCTTGGACCTGGCTTATTGTATGTGTTGACTATTTAGGACTATTTACACCCCCTTTATAACTTATTCAGGATTCAGAATGTCTAAATGGGATGGTCAAGCGATCATTATCATAAGGGAATACCTAACATCGTTAGCATCCCTCATAGAAGCGATTACCTACTAACATCCATTGGCATAGATGGGCTTGGCCTTGATAACCCTAAAACGATTTCTACGATCTGGCTTTCGAAGCCGCCGATACGGTCTAACGTTTCTACGTCGCCGGAAGAACTTGTATGCAACAATGCGGCATGGCGAGCAGACCCGTCCCAACCGAATATCACGATATATGAAATGCTTCGACAAGACAGCATACGGGATATCGTAACCATCTCGAGCGGGGCACTGCCCGGAAGTATTATCATCTTGCTTGCTATCGATTACATTCCTAGGACTACATGGATGGGCTGGATGTTTGTCGCACTAGCCGGGCTTTTTGCCATCAATGGCGCAACGTTCTTCGTTACTTTCGAGACGGATAAACATGCGCTTACGGTGACCTTGTACGTACTTGCACAGGTTATCTTCAATCTTGGGCCGAATACTATCACATTCATGCTTCCGGCGGAGCTCTTTGCCACAAAGTACCGAGGCACATTCTACGGTCTTGCAGCAGCTTCGGGGAAACTTGGTGCAATAACAATCCTCTTGATTACCAACCTTGCTGTCTACGGTGGTGAGTTATATAACCGCAAGTTTGCAGCAATGTTACTAGGATTCTGTCCCGCAATGCTCCTGGGTGCGTTTGTTACGTGGGTTTGGATCCCCGAAGTCCAACGTCCTCGAGGGTATGATAGTAAACCAGAACGTGACGACAATGGCTCTGATGATGGACTCGACATGGAGAACGATACATTTAGGCAAAAGCTCAAGCTAGCAAACAGACCATTATTTGACATCGCTCAAAACCCGGGAGACGGCCAAATATTAGGTATGAGGCGGAATATTTCGCGGTTATTCAGGACAAGGCGGACGCGTGTTATAGATAGAACGAGACGGAGGCTTTCAATGTCCGCGACTAGTCCAAGAACAGATTCAATTGGACAGGAGGAAGGTAATGTTGGCGATGGGTTAGAGATGAGGCACGAACACAATTGCTGATGGATGGGTATGGATGAGTATGAGGAGTTGGTTAGCTGGTTTCGATTAGGAGGCACGGATCCGTACTTGGGATCTTATTTGTTCGGGTTAGACGAAATTTCATTTTCTTAATGTCGTTTATCTTGATACTTTACCACGTGACGATAAAATAATGCCCGAGTTTACGAGGGATATTGTCTGGCTGATCTCAAATTCCTAAAATGGAAGAATTCCTTGAGAAGGAAGTTCGTCCGTGCGCAGCCTTTAAGCGTTTTTATTGGGTGCATCTTCTATCAGATTCCCCACTTTCGAAAAAAAAGTCGAAATACGTACTGTTTCGAGCCCTTTTCCAAGATGCTAAAGGTGTTAAAGGTTGCTAAAAGGTATTGGGGTTCGAACCCCACGCTTTTTTCCATTTTCCAGATTTTTTATTTTTTATTTTTTTTTAAAGAAATTCCAGTAAAGGCTGGTATTCGAGTTTGTTGCCGCCCGCCAGCAGCGGCACGTGATTGACCTTTGTAAACTCGGGCTATTGTGGTGCCCCACAGGGGTGCCCTCTTGTTGAAGTTAGGTATATTTTAAAATTACCTAAGATACCTGGTATTGATCCATACCTATATTTTAACTTTTCTACCTTTGTAGCTACATGTAACTTGAATACCTGTGTGAGTATTGTACATAGATAATATGTAGGTAGGTGCTCACTCAATTGCAGTGCTCTCTCTTACCCCTGAAACCTGCGATGAATTCCGGATAAGGACTTCCCGAGCTTGGGCTCATGGATATGACAACATTGTGCACCGACCCAGAAGCTCCAATGGTCGGTGTTTGTATAACTTCTTTAAAACTCTTATTCTTCTCCTTTAGACTCTGGAACATCAGATACTTTAATTACCTAACTATCTCCTAAAGTACAAAAAATACAGCCAGAGCTTACATCTACATCTCATAATGGCAGAACCTACACCAACCAGCACAAACCCGCCAAGCAACATCAGCCTACGCGCCCCGTCCAAGTACCTCGCAGACCCCTCCAAACCATCAACTACCACCGGCAACCCATTCGTCTCTCCACCACTCGAATGGCTCTGGCGCACCTGGGCGGTCACCCACTCGACGTTGTCGATGTGGCGCTCGGCTCGGAACGTGCGCATAACCTACAAGCCGTATAAGCCCGAATCCAAACCCGTTGCAAACGACAACCTAGTCGAATATGAGAAGAGCAACGGCAAGGGAGGCGTCAAGCGCGTCGAAGGCATCGAGAAGCCCGACTCGACTATTCCTGGTGCCTGGACCTGGCGGGGCAAGGGCTTGCTGGTTATAGCTAGCAGCCATTGGGAGATTTTAGGCTGGGGCGAGCGCCCACTGGCCGGCGGCCCAGATGATACTGGAGGAGGTGTTGAGCGCTGGGCTGTGACCTGGTTCGCACCTACTTTATTCACGCAGGAGGGCGTAGATATTTACAGTGACCGCAAGGAAGGCCTGAGCAAAGAGACGGTGGAAGGGATTATCAAGGCATTGAAAGAACTTAACGATGCACCAAAGGTTGCCGAGCTAGTCGAGAAGCACATGCAGGAGGTTGAAATTAGCTTACCGTGGAAAGAAGGAAATAAATAATTGCCTAGAGTATTGAGGTTGGAAGTCTAGAATGGTGGTTTAGGGTTGTAAATTATTTATGATACCCATAGAGTAGGACGTGGTAGGGCGAGGAGTAGTATGATATCCATCTAATCATATCACGAATACGCAAATGACATTGATGCCTCTACGAGGTAGGGGGGGTATCTAATACTTGGAAAACTAACACCTAGACCAATATACCAATGCAATGCTACTAGTTATCTGCCCTCCCTTTTCGGCGTCTGTCATGTTTCGATAGTCCCTGCTCTCGCTCTTGGCGGTCTGATGGGGAACTTTGTTTGTGATCGTCATATCGGTGCTCTTTGTGTCCTCTATGTTCGGAGTGGCGCCGAGATCGATCGCTCCCATCCCGGGAGTGACGATATCGTCGTTGTTGGTAATGATCGTTGTCATCCTTAGAGCGGGCCTGGGGCTTACTGGACGCTGTACCATCTAGAGTGAATTCCTCAAGGTCATCGTAATCCTTTCTCCCTTCTCGTAGCCTCCTCCTCTCCCGTCTCTTCTCTTCTCTTCGAAGCTGCTTCAGCTCTCGCTCTCTCTCCTCGTTCAGCTTTCGTCTTTCTTTCTCAACCTCCCTAATCCTCGCGGCACCTCTCTTCATTATTGCAAGGGGATCATTAGCTACAACGCGTGAAGCCTCTCTCTCCTTCCGCCGCGGGTCCTCATTACCCCATACGTCTTTACTCGGTGCATCCAGGTTACCATCTACAATATCCTTGATATCGCCACCTTTCGCATACCAAGGGCCAATTAACCCCTCCTTGCCAGCAGCGTTAGAGAAGCGCATAGTGTACTGGTCTTCATATTCCCGTTTCTTCTTGGCAGCCTCTCGTTCGGCCTCTTCGTTTTTCTGTAAAGGAACACGCGATCGCTCTTCGGGAAATAAGTCTATGTGACCGGTGTGATCCACGAGTGGGGCATTACTGCTGCTCTTTACAAGCGCGTCGCTCGTTGTCTGTGTGGCACTCGCCTGCTCGCGGGCAAGGCGCAATTCGAAATCTGTATCGTCTTCGCCTATGCGCTTTCTCTTCCTACGCTCCCTGCCCCGGCTTGATGCTCCCGGATCCTCATCACGACTATGTTTCTGGCTACGGGACTCATCTTCAACACTCGACTGAGGGGGAGGGGGTAAAGGCGGGGGGGTCTCCCCTCGTAGGATGGCTAGACGACGTTCGGCATCGGCTTCTTGCTGGCGTTGCTCTTCGGCCTCGTCGCGGGCTTTGGCAGCTGCTTCGTCGCGCCTCACGCGCTCGATATTCTTGGGGTTGTAGACATTCCACGATTTCTTGCCCAGAAGATGCCTGCCAGGGAACTTGTTAGAAAGATAGACCGAATTTAGTCAGTTCAATATCGGCCGTAGGGGAGGTACTCACAGAGGCATACCGGGTCTAGGATATGTGATATCTACCTACACCTATAGAACTATGACTGCTGAGTAAAGTTGAAAAAAGGAATGCTTAATATTATGTTGGAGTAGCCATTTGAAGAGGCAGAGTGTAACAGTGTAGTTGAGTATTCCCGCACTGTCATTCTAGTGTCGCGTTATTGTCTTTTGAATTTCTACGAATCCAGTCGATAAAAAATGTTGTCATGATAAGTCAGCAAAGTCTAACGTCACATCCTTATTAACTAAGCACTTTTATTAGGTATGTTCATAACCGCTTCCCGGCTTAAATAAGGCTGAAGAAGTGGCTGCCAAGACTCGGTTTAATGTCCCTTTTGTCTCGGAGCTAAATTTATCAGCCTTCAATTCACAACTTCCACATCATTTATCTAGTCTTATTAAGCCCTGTTCAATCCAGGCCATTCTATCTACGGATTTATGATAGAAAATCCTAACACTAGATACTTGACTCATACGATTTTGTCAAGCATACCTTTTATTTCTCTTAATTTATTTGAATTCACCAATCACATTACCTCCCTTCTACCATCCTCGTCCCAGCCGCATCTAAGCCGTGCCAAGCCTGCGTACAACAAGCTTGGTGGATTAGTCCATCATGGAAGAAACTGAGGACACTACCGCAGCTATGGCACAGGCCATGGGCTTTTCAAGCTTTGGGGCCCAGGCCAACTCCAACAAGCGACGCAAATTCAACCCTCGTGCGGATGCTGTGGTTGCGTCGACCTCTACTTCTATTCCTCATCACATCAGTGAGGCAAAGTCGGGTTCCAATGCGATTCCCTTAGGAGTTAGATCAAAGAATGAAGACGAAATTACCCTTGAGGATGATGAAGCAGCCAGCCTTACGGATAGCAGAAAATATTTCCCTCGTAATGAACCGGTTGATGATGAGCTAGGACCTCAGTATTTGGACACTTCACGCCCGCCTGATATAGCCGCGGTCGATCCAACGGGTGGTGCTATGTCTGACACTAAAATTGACGCTACGACCGGGGATTATACGGGACATATTGTAGGGGCTAAGTCATCAGCAGCGAGCACCAGCTGGGGTTTTGTCAGTCAAGATAGTGGTCGTGGCGGTTATCAAGCCAGGGAGAGTCAGGGGCATGAACCAGGGAAGAAATGGTGGGATGATTACTACGACCCGAGTTCGAACATCAATCCTTGGGAACGACTTGAGCATATCAAAGGTTTAGGACCGAGGGGCAATTGGATGTCCTGGGAGGCAGCTAAGCGATGAGTCGGTATCGTCACCATTGATCAAGGGAAATTTCATTGAGCTTTGATCTGGGCAATTGGATCAAGTAACCACATTTATTTAACCCAAAGATAAGTCAAGAGGAAATGGTACAGAATGCTCTCCCCTGGCTTTTACCCCAGAAGATATTAATGCCTGACAGGTGGAATACGTTCTGAACATGTCGCAATCTTTAGGCGGCACTATATCACGTGATAATAATCGACATACGACAAGTTATTCTACGTGGTGGATTCAACCCTGGATTTTACATGACAGGTCAAAGAATTACTGTGGTCCCTTAGCGTTCGTTAGCTCGAAGGGGGACGGGTGATATAAGGCTCATTGCGTCTAAGACGTACATCCACGGCACTGAGTTAGACCACCGAATGGTGAATTGCTGTATTACTATGTCTAAGAGAACTACGATACCAACCCAATACGACGCCTTAAGGAAACCCCTGGCCGAAAATAGGTCAGTCACCCCCCGTGACCTTACCGACTTATTACAAAAAGGGCAATATCCATGTCCCGAAGCGGACAAGTGTCATCCCTACGCTGGGGACTGGGGAGACTATGTGATCTATCTAGGAATACATTCTTTTCCCACGCCCCCGAGTGTGTCCCTAGGAAATTCGATGTACTGCCGCCCACTCGCCCTAAGCCCCTAGCTCGCGATCAACTTAGCTTGCAGCTGTGCGAACCTCGGGCGCTACTTGACCGGTCAGATGCGCATCATCCCGTAGCTCACACGAGCCCGTACCCTGCTAGAGACGAAGTTGATGTACTTTTAGCCCATAACGCCCCCAGGATCGTCCGGTGTTGTCCAATCATAACCCATAACCTCGTGAAACAGCCCTACCCAGCTAAAGCCGGCCGGCCCGCTCGCTGTGCGTCAGCGCATGCGGAGCATGAGGAGCAGAGATGGACGGGCGTCTATTTTTGCCGCCCTACTCGCCCAAGCGTCAAACCAGCTCCCGCCTCCTCCACCATCTTTTTGGGAGGGGAGTGTGCATAAGGAGACCGCAGATAGGAACGATCCCGACAGATCTTGCATTCCCGAATCTCAGATCTCGCGTGGTAGCAGCAGCCCGCCCACACCCATTCCATAAATCAGCCGCCAAAAAGCTAAAATAAACGACACGCGCAGAAAACCATGATACAGGTATAAAAACAACTCCCCATGCGGATTACGCAGGAATAGCAAATAAAAATTACTTCTTAATACCTAGTTAGGCGAGGGATATATTTCGAGCGCCTTCTGGTACTCCTTGGGGTGATGTTTCTCTGCCTTCTTTTTTAGCGACCTGTGTAGCACCGTTTTGTTAACCAGAATATTCTCGTCTCTATTCTAGGAAGTGGTCAATTCAATATATTTCTACTTACGATACTTTCTTAGATGTCCATTCGAGATCAGCGTGGACTTCCCGCGCGTCGTTTAGACCTTGCTGGAAGCGAGCGCGCGACCGAGCTAGACGAGCTTGCGCTTTCGCTTGCATTTCTAAAAGTTCGCGGTGCTTGTTGTTGAGTTGACCGGAACTAAATTGGTGTGTCAGTCAGTTAATTTTCTTCTGCGTGATTTCTTTTCTCGCTCTCCAACATTCGCTTCTGTATTCCAGGACGAAATTACAGAAATTGAAAGAGCGGAATGCGTTGGGATCTAGAACTTACGTCTGGGCCTGGCGAGCTAAGCTGCGATCTAGCGGGATGGGGTCGAAGGACTCGTCGAAGCGGTTTTGCATGTACTCGTTGAAGTCAACGCCATTGACAGAGCCGCCACTCTGGGTTCCATCGCCATAGTCACCACTAGTGTAGCTAGTAGCATAACTCGCGGCATTGCTGCTATTGCCGTAGGAAGGTACACCAGAGGTGACGGAGGCGTCACGCTCACGCTGGTCATCCTCAGACGGAGACACAGAGTAGTTGCTACCGCTGCTCTGGTAGTACTGTTGGTACTGTTCTGCTTTGCTGGGAATAGGTACCGCCGCGGCGGTGTAGTATTGTGTGCTGTAGGATGCCATGGTAGCTAAGTGCTGATTGGCGATGGCAATGGAACGTCCTAGGAAGAAGACTGGAACGAATCGATTGCAATGGATTTGCAAGACAGGGTGTGAGTATGTGACTCTGTGTGAGACCGCCGGGAGTCCTTTGTTTGTATGAGGTGTGGGTGTGTACGTGGTGAGTCAAGAACAGAGTAAGGTCTTGACAAACAAGGACAATGGCAGAAGGAAGCTTCTGAATAGGCAGGCAATCAAGATAGATAGAAGTTTGAAGTTTGAAGTTGTTTGAAAGAAAGAAAGAAGGAAGAAGAAGACAAGCTCAACCCGTCAACAACACCCCCTTTTATACTTTTTTCTTCTCATCTTTCGAAGGACTTGCCTAGCTCGATGGCATAACGAGAACGGGCCATCTCTAGTCCTGTCTATAGGGGATAAGTCCCGATGACTCTATTCGTCGATCGAGAATAGCTCTCCGTGACCCCGCTCAATATAGGATATATCGTTGGGCCAAGGGAGGACAAGGGACGGGGAGGCAAGGGCTTTAGCTCTCTAAACGGGAGATGGATAGAGAGAGAGTAGACAAGTACACACAAGACTGATAGTGTACATACGGTACTACGAGCCATTGGCATAAACGAACTGTAATATTGGAGTATAGCATTCGTACCTCCTTCCGCCGAGCCCTGGTCCTTACCGGTAATGAGATATATACGTATATACTTCCCTCGGCTTGTCTATACGCCTTCGCTTACCGACGTGGCGGATTACCTTAACACCATCCTAGGTGAGTAGTCCATTCACTGATGAGGGGTTGAAGAAAGCTGATAGAGGACTGGCTACCTAGGTAAGATAGGTAAGACGATAAAATAGGAAAAAAAAAAAAAAAAAAAAAAAAAAAAAAAAAAAAAAAAAAAAAAAAAAAAAAAAAAAAAAAAAAAAAAAAAAAAAAAAAAAAAAAACCATACATGCATGACGAGATAGGTAATCTAACCATGTTCATGTTATATGTGGGCAGGTCTCCACGGGGTGTGTGCATATTTCAAATAGCTTATACGGGGGCAATAACATATAGCTTATGTAGGTACCTAGGAATTTAGTATCAATTCGACACAACTGTGCTCTCGGTCACCGCTTATAGCATGAAACTCGTTCGAAAGGAACGATATTTGGAGCTTTCACTTTTTTCTTTCTGGCATGTGCCGAGAAGGGGCGATTATCACTTCCAGTCAGGAACGAGATGCTGTGGGGGTATAGGATACGACAGGGAAAGTCTTCCTCGGATGGGACAGTGAAGCTTGAACAGGTAGCTTGCTTGCTGGAGGGGAGTGGAGATATCAGATGCAGGAGTATCTGGAAGACACGCCACTTGCTGCAGGCAGGGGGGAGATAGGCTGACTAGCTGGTATGTAGCTCGGGCAGTACAGAGTTTTGGCGCCTAGGTCTAAGATGTATGATGGTCGTCGTCCAATATATGTAAGCAGAGAAAAACGCACGTATGCAGGCGTAGGTACAGTACATGCAATGTGGAGGCAGACAGGAAGGGGGAAGATCGGGGAAGCGGTTGCAGAATGACAGACGGGACCAACCGGCTTCCTGCGGATAGGGGACAGGATGGAGACGGGAGACGAAAGGATGAATAAGGGCATCATCATAGTAGACAGACATAAGGAAACGAGATATATCTGGCAAGACAGCTTCTAGGTCTGACGGGAACGACAAGGGACCCGGACCCGAAGATGATCTCTCTACATACCTACGTGTAAGTTACATACTTATGTACTATACGTATGTAGTCATCGAAGTAGTATTTTTTTTCTCTTTTGCCCCAAGTAAGCCAACAGACTAGTAAGTATAACGAAAACGATCCTTCCGGGATATAGACTATTGAGTATGCGCGGTACAGAGAGGAATCGGGATATTGGGACTCTATATACCGAGAAGGCTCTTAATAGTACATACAAGCCAGAGTGTCTGCCGTCATATCCTTTAAGTGGCGGCATATAGATATGTAGACGGGGAGCCGTTAGAGCAATGAAATATTTTTTTTTCTGAAGGTGCTCTTGATCTATATAGATAGATGTAAATACGTAGACCGCCCTTCCGGGTGAGGCCCTGCCCCCTAAGCCCTATTAGGAGAGACGGACGGCCCTCGCGAACAAGCGCGCTAACGCTAACATGTAGTAGTTGTCCACAAAAACAGCGACGAATTTATCAACGAGCCCATCCGTGATTCGAAGGGATAGACTGGATGGGAGGATACTGGTTAAGTACCTAGGTAGGGGGGGTGGTAGTAGGAAGCGGATTGCATCTGCACCTTGGGAGATGTTGCATCTTTAGGCTGACGGGTCGTTGACCAAGGTTCATTACTATATTTTTTATCCTGGGGTGGGAATCAAGGAGAGAAAAAAAAAGTATCAGGATAAGAATATAGTAAAGGAGGGAAGCAGGAGTGGTGCCGTCAGAAAAGCAGACGTTGGAATAATGTCAAGGTTGCTCGCTACTGGTCAGTCAGGCAGAAGTGCAGCAAGATCGGGCATTTTGTGTGATGATGTGTTGTCAAGCCTGGAGCCAGCCGAATGAATTGAGAGCGTCATTTTGGGGGGAGCATATCTATTTTATTTTTTTATTTTGTTTAATTTATTTATTCATACCTTTCTAGCCCCCTTCGTTCGATTTTTATTTACTCGTTTATACATCTAGAAATAGGTACACATGGACGCGTTTGTATATGTAAGTATATACCTGTTCCTCAAAACCAGGGGCGAGCATGCAAGAAATACATTTTGAAGCGACCCTGTTATTCTGTATTCGGAACGTCCTGCGTGGTTTTGTATGGCTCGCTCGTCCATTTGAGAAAAGAATTCATGGAAAATGCAAATTTGAATTTTCTCATTGGTCAGAAATTACAGATATTCTGTAATGGGAAAGACTTAGAAGGGTAAGGGGAACAGTAACGGGTCCATGGATAGGAATTACGTTTTCTCTGGTAGTGAAAGGGGAAGACTCCGCTAGCCCTGGACTTGCCCCTCCATTACAGCCATCCATAGCCATTGGGGGGGTGGGAAGAAAATAAAAACGTTCTGCCCCACCACCCCTTGGCTTTCAATATGAATCTTGGCGTACATAACGTGTCCGCAACAACACGTATTCATAGATGGTATGTTGAAGAAACTCGTGGTCTCGGAAGTCGGCTGTTTGAATTGAGACAGAGGCTGATTAAACACAAATAGATGCTAGATAACCATCACTTATCCTCATCTCGCCCAAGCCTTTTCTTCTTCTAGAACGTAA